AGAGCACAGAATCAGGAAGAAAGAGTGGAAATCCCAAATTACTTTCAGAAATAACGATTCCCTAGGTGCTGCCCAGCAACAGTAAGGGCTGAGGTACAAACTCAGGATGGGGTTCTTTGTTTGGGGGAAGGAATGTAGATTATGTGCATCCTAGGGTCCCTGGGTGTCCCTGCTTGGTTGTCCCCTCCCACCTCTCCAGAACGCTCCTGCCTGGCTGCCCTCATGGCCATGGCTGTGTCAGTCAAACCAGACTCCCCCTCTCACACCCACACTGCCCAGTCAGCTTCTGAGGCTTTGCAACCTTGATGGGTGTTGTTCCATTGGCCATGAATAACCTTTCCCACGCCACCAGCTGATCCCCTTGCCCAGTTAAATTCTATGCCCACCTTTCCCATCTCACCCTCCCAGACCAGTTTTATCAGCCCACACAGAATCCTGCAGTGCTGGACATCTACAGGAATTGTACTATTTCTTGTAGGTTTTTAATTTTCTTTTAATCTGCCTTTCCCCTCATCTATAAGCTCCTTGAAGATAAAAATCATGACTAGTCCACTCAGCCAAGTGTCTCTAGGGCTCATCACTGGCTCTTGCATAGAGAAGGTCAGAAAACATCAGTTGAGTGGCTGAGCCCAAAGCAAACAGCAGATCTGTAAGAAAAGGGGGTGGGGCCAGGGATTTAGGTCAGTGGTGCCGCTGCCTGCCTCACAAGCACAAGGTCCTGAGTTCCATTTTCCGGTACCAAAAAAAGAAGAGGGAGGGGGACAGAGACAGAGAGACCAAGCAAGACAGAGAGACAGGCAGACAGACAAAGTGATAGAACTGTCTTTCCTTTTGGTGACAGTTCACAGCCTCACTGTGGTGCAACCCCAGGGGTTCAAATTCTCAAACATTTCTCCCTGGAGAGGAATCCCTATTTATATATGTACCTGAAAGAACTATAAAAATCTTAAATTCTGAGAATGAAGAAGAAACAAGGGCAGAATGATTGTCACGCTGCCCGTGGTTCACACGAAGTCACCTGAAGAGTGTGGAAGTTCACAGATGTGCTTCAGGCCACTGAAGTGGTGAGAAGGAGTCGAGTGAGAAGAGGCTGCTGGTCAGGTAGGTGGAGGCCAGGGAGGACGTGAAGTACCGAGATACGCTATGCCCAGTGAATGGGGTCTGGAAGAAAATGTTACTGCGATCTCTTTGTTTCTTTTCGCCTATAAATTAGGTAACTGAGCACTTGTGCACATCTCACCACACACAAACATCCAATAAGTATTTTACTTCCAAGGAAGCTGGCAAACTTGGAAGGTTACAGAGCCAACGAACATTGCGGCCCAGGGTTAGTGCTTACTTGAAGTGTATGTAAAGGCCAATCTTTTTTTCTACTACACCTCTCTTATTTAACAGTCAGCCTCTTGTATTAATGCTATCTTTTAGTTTCAAAACAATCACTAATGTTTATTAAATGAAATAAAAACTTACTACCATGTTATCATAGAAGAGAAAGTTTACATAAAACAGAATTAAAGTATTGCTGTTGTGTTGTTACTGTGTTGTCTTTCTAAACAGGCAGGATCACTTTTAAGTAGGAAAGATAAATCTAGGTTATCAGAGGAATTTGACAGTAAATACCCCAAAACTTTAAAATATGTGGATGCGTCTTCATCTGGAGATTTCTATCCTTTCTGAAATCTTCCCAGCTTTATAAGGGTTTGGGTCTATCATTTACAAAAACAATTTTTTTTTTTTTTTTGGCCAATAAGAAATTGAGGCAGGGAGCTAGGGATTTAGCTTAGTGGTGCCACCTCCTATCTTGCAAGCACAAGGTCCCAAGTTCAATACCTGGTACAAAAAAAGAAGAAGAAAGAAACTGAGGCCTTGGAATGAAGAAACCACGGCATAGAGCTCAAGCTCATGAGACAAACATGTGGCTGGTTTCCTCTAAGAGAGGCGTGCAGGGAGTGTTTGTAAGCAGCGAGCAGCTGATAACACTTGATAGAAAGCAGAGGTGGGACACCCAGTGGAAGGCCTGGGCGCTGAGCCTGGAGAGCTTATCAGCCTCTGCCGCCACAAAGCCACAAAGCCGATAGGAAAGTGGCAGGAGTGAAGCTGAGAGTGAGAGGTGACATGTTATCTTAGCAGCCTCTGGGTGACACACAAAAGAGGCATTTCGGGCATCATCTTTTAATACACATTTCCAAATATCATCAAACCCATAAAAATAGGGAAGGGTAAAGGTGAAAACAAAACCTATTTTTGTCTTCTCCTGTAAAACTTACCAATGAGGGCCGAGGCACATTCACCTTGAAACACCCTGACCCAGGGTTGGTGGTTTCCCTCAGTGGGGCCTGGATCCAGTGCCCAGCACAGGAAAAGAAATCCAGACTTTGCAAGATTCCCTCCTTGTCTTCTGGTCAACAGCTTCCCACCTACACACAGCCGTTTCAGGCAGCTTGAGGCTGCGCCTGTCAGAAAAGCATGGATCTCCATGGCCAACTTTTAGAGCCCTTTGAAATAGGGCCACATCAGGGCAGTAAGAGAAGCCACTTCACAGGCCAAACACAGTGCAGACAAGGCTTCATTAGGGAGGGAGTTTTCTGTTAGCTTTTTGTGTTTCCCAAGCTCTCAAAGGCCTCTGTTTGAGCCTCTCACCTGGAGTCACTTGAATGAAAGGGTCAGGCCGCAAGCTATGTACTGCAGAAACCAACAAGCCCGGTTCAGACCACCCAGCTCTCCACAGGGCAGCAACCTCAGATTCAGACAAGATAAAACGCTGCCATCCCAGGTGACCTGGCCCAGAGAACCCCCTTCTAGGAGTTACAGGATCTCCTGGGAGGGAGGGCTGTGCTCTCTGAAAAGGTGACATTGGTCTCCTCAGGAAATCCGTGGTCTCGCCTCTTCATGAGAGGCAGAAAATGTATTAGATATACTTTTACATTTTTGAAGTAAAATAGTAAACCAAGTCTTTGGGCCTATTCCCAAAGTGAATGCTGAAAAGATCCCAAGCTCCAATATCTGCATTTAAAAGACTGACCCCTTTCCACCAGTGCCAGATTTCAGAACTACAAAGATCCCAAACTCAGTTAATCCACCTCATTCTACTGACAGAGGAACTGAAGTTTAAAGTGGTTAGGTGACTCATTCAAGACTGGTGGCACCAGCGAAGCCTGGAAATGCCCCCTACAAGACCCTATCCATAGTATTCACATTGGTCACTTAGGAATCCTTTGAAACCAACACTGAGCCTGGCATGCAGCAGGTACGCCCAAATTCTTGGAACAAGGAGAGGGAAGAAAGGAAATGGCTTTAAAATCCACACCATGTTTTATTTTTTCTGCAGCTACTAAATGCCATAAAATATGGGGAAAGGACAGACAGCAGCAGAGTTCAGGCTTTCAGATTTTGTCAAATGAGGACTTTCAACACGATGCATAAACCATTTCTGTTTCTTCACTCTTTGTTCCTTCAGTCCCTCTTGGCCCAATATAAATTCGATTTCCAGGGACAAGATTTCTCCTGACCTATCCCAAGACATTCAGCTCAGTTCAGCCTGGATCTAACCCCAGGATCAGACTTCTCAGGAGGCTGGCAACTGGGTAGAACATCCCTGGGTTTAAACTGTCCAAGGCAAATACTGCTAAAGCCATGAGAGGAGAACAGGCTGAACAGCCCAACAACTGGCAGCTAGGAACCGGTGCCCAATTCCTTTCTCACTCATGGGAACGGGAAGGAAAACTTGGACGGAAAGAGCAAGGAAAAAGAATGTGGTTGTTGGGAAAATTGGTTTAAAAGCCCTGCTTTGGCAGCCAAGCGTGCAAACCCATGTTGCCTGTAAACTGGTTAACATCAGCTCAAAGGCAGGTTTATTATTTGGATATGAGGTTTGGCATTAACCAAATATTTGACAAGGATTTAACTGCCAAAGACAACGTAGAGCAATGTTTTGGTGTGGTGGCAACCGCATCAGATTCACCCAGGCAGAGCCCTGGCCCCATCCCGAGTCTAAAGTCCTGCAGGGGTGGGGGCTAGGTAGGCATCTGGTTTTCACCTAGCTCTCAGGAGGTTCTTACTCAGCTTAAGTTTTGAGGATGCCCAGTGGGGAAAAAAAGCAATAGTAGTTAGCACTTTCCCAGAGTTACACAGAAGGTACTTTCACCAAGTGGAGCGCAGGAAGGTGGGGTAAGACGCAGTGCTTCCCAAATAGAGCCTGAGGGTGATCATTCTTCGGCAGGCTGGTTGGGAAGCAGCTCTGGAGAAGTTAACGTCTCCTGCAAGACTTCCAGCCCCAGCCCCCGAAAACGCTCTGCTTAAACTTTGTGATTCACACCACCTGACAAGACTGAACACATCAATAAAACGAAACAAAAAAAAACATAAACTAAAGTTAAATGCCTTGAAAGGAATTTTAATGATTTAGATAAAAACTAAAAGAAGTAATTTACTACATCTGCAAAGCCTTCAGGCCAAATCTCAGGAATGGGAGGAAACCAAAACTCAGACAAAAATTTCACAATGTGATTTCTTTGTCTTCCCAACATCCCACCCCTAAATTATAGAAATCATGCTTTTAAAGAATATATCTAAATATAACTAAAGCAAAAGTAGCCAGAAATCATTTCCAAATTTCTAGAGTCTGATACGCTGAAGGTATTATCTGTTCCATTATTTTTTCCATCTCTTTCCTTTGCCATTTCTCTTAGCTGAGAAGAAACATTCTAACTTCGGAGTACATTTTGTAAAATTAAAAATGCTTATTTCATTGGCAAGTGCCACTGGGGATGTACTCAGAAGAGAATGAGAAATGTACGTCAGCCCTGTTTTTGGCGTTCGGCTGGTTAACAGTACAAACTGTCCACTTTCTGAGGTAACACAAGAACCAAACTTTTTCCAGCCGCCTCTGAGGACTTCTTACATTGTTACTCAGCATTACTGCACCAAGCAAACAGCCGAGCTGGCATTCAACTCACAGAACACGCACAGGAAGAGAGGAATCTCATAAAGCAGATACTTACAGGTAGTGGTTTTTCTTTCCAAGCCAAACAAGCTGGAAACCTTGGAACTGGCGGCTGAATAAGAGTCACTGACCCAGTGATCTGGTTTAAAGGGCTTAGAGAGGAGGGGGGAGGAAAAACATCCCAGGGAAGGAAGAGAGCTGAAATTCCAGTCTTTCAGGTCAGCTGAGTTTGAGTTTTCTTTGTGCTAAAAGTCCATTAACCCACACATCCAAAAAAAAAAAAAAACACAACCCTAGAGCCGAAGTTCACACACACACTCTCCACTCCATCTGCTCCCAGGCTTCTGCTGCGGCTGTCGCCAAGCTCCAGGGCTCCTCCTGAGAAGGACGGCCGTGTGGGGATGCCTGCGACTGTGAGCAGGGAGCCACACCCGCCCTTCCCTCAGCGGGTCGGTCCTGGGGACAAGACTGAGCTTTTGTTAACAGGAGGGTTGTTTCCTTCCTAGCCTCTTCCCAGCTTCCTTTCCATTATTAGTGATGTTCAAACTGCTCTGCCACTGGCTGAGCTGCAACAGCCTCTGCCGCCTGCCACACACACACAGGCAAGTGCACTCCCGGCATGCACACGCACTGACAGACGCTCACACACATGTGCACATGTGCTCACAGACACCCACACCCACTTGCACAGGCGCCTCCACTATGCTTTTGCATTTCTTTTCTTTGAACAAATCCCTTCCCTGAAAGGTTTGTGTTCGAATTCAGTGGTGTCCAGTATTCACGAGGAGGAAAGGGGACAGGCCCCTTTTCCTTTCATGCGGCATTCAAAGAAAAAAAATGAAAGAACAGTCAAGATTTTAGGATGCCTCTTTTCAATACCACCTTAGCACTTCATTTATAAAGCTTTTTAAGTTTCTGGTTGTTTTCAAAAATCCACCCAAAAAAATCCCATTACTCAGATCCTATTTGCACACAGTTCAGATACACAATGCATCAAGAACTGGCCCCTCAACAGAGATGCATTTAGCTGCTCTTCTCAGTGGGTGAACGAAAGTCTTTCTGTAATAACTGTTTAATAAAACACTTCTCTGTTTCATCCCTACCAGGAAAAAAATGGCATATCATCTGCCTAACTTTTAAAGTTGCCATAAAGAAAGAAATTCAAATATTTTCTCATTTTGGAGGAACAGGTTATATTTAAGACTTTTCTGGCGAGTCTAAACCTTCAATCAAAACATAAGATACTGTACATCCAACTCAGCCTGGACTGTGCTTTTCCTTAACATTGCTGCATTTCATACTCTTTCCTGAGAAGCAATGAGGGAAAGAGGGAAATATAAAAGAGAAGGGTAAGAAAGTTACGTGATGAAGAAAGAAAGCAGAGGGAGGAAGGGTAGAGGGGGACGTGAAAGACATTATAAAGTGTCAAAAAAGAGAGAAAAATACTTTTATGGCAAAGAAAGGCTTTATGGATACTTGGGCAATGAAGTTAAGTAAACACTTCCTCAAAGTCACTAGAGATTTAAAATCCTCCAGAGTCTTTTGATTCATTCTAATTGCCCTAAGAATAACTAAGACTTTAAGAATCATTAAACCTTTTATAAGCAAACAAACACCATTAAAAATGTAAGTCATGTATCAATCTTGAAAGGGCAAGAAATAAAGCCATGACAACAGCTAAGAAACACAGCATGAGAGACAATTTTGTCCTCCAAATGAATTTACAATGGGCCCAGTTTTGAATATCTCACCTGCAAAGAAATGAAGACAACTTGGAAGCTACGTCTTGAGCTCTGACTCTGCTTGATAAGGGAAGGATGTGCTGCTACGTACAGGTGGCTGACAGGTGCACCTCTACTAAATCAGCTTACGGATCAGTCTAGAAACAAATGTTTTATAAAATTCCGTGGGGAAAAAATACATTCAGTGCGTTAAGCAAAAAATAAACTTAGATTGCACCATATTTCAAGATATCTGTAATAAAAGTGGTCTTTGTAAAGTTTATTATGTATATTTGGCATAACTGTGCCTATTCTGTATTCTAGAATAGGTAGAGTTAGTCAGAATGTCCTGAAATCTATATATATATATGTATATGTATGTATGTATATATATATATATATATATGTATCTATATATATCTATATATGTATCTATAGATACATATATATATATTCATGCAAATAAATCACTGCTTCTCTTTTATCTTCCATAAATGGGAAAGGGTCTCTTTTTCAAAATTTACTTACTAGGTTTATTGGTTCATTTTAGGTACACTATATGATGATGTTCAACATTGGGAATTTGTACCTTTATGTGATACATCTGGGTTCTTATTTTTTCCCCATTCCTCCACCCTCCCTTCAACCCCTCCACCTTTCCCTATTTACAAAGACTCTGTTTCCATGTTTTTCCTTTTCTCATATTTTTCCTTTCTCCTACTCCTCCCACTTCTCCTTTCCCTTTAGACTTTGTCTTCCTGTTTCAAATTATCTATTATACATTTTGATCCTTATTTACACTTTCAGTTTCTCATGCCAGAGAAACTATTCAGTATTTACACACAAGCATCCTAGTTATTTCACTTAAGAGTATGGCCTCAATGTGCATCCATTTAGCCATAAATGACTTTAGTTTCTCATTCTTTATGGCTGAGTAGTACTCCATTTTATTTATTGAAAAAACAAACAAAAAACATCTTTATCCAGTCTCCAGATGATGGGCAATTGGTTTGGGGAAAGGATCTCTTGAAATAATACAACTATCAAGTTTAAACAATAAAGCATCCTCTGAAGAAGCTGAAATACAAAGGCAGAGTTTTAAAAAGCACCAACGAAACAAGGAAAAATTCTTCCCCTCAAAGCATATGCTGCTGAACTTAGTACTGAACAAATGTATTTTAAAGAAATAATTTTACTTCTGACCTTGGTTGGAATGATGTGAAAGATACAAAAAGAGATTGTCACACTTTTTTGAATTGTAAACATGTACGCTTTTTGTTGAATTGCTGTAGAATGTAGCATTCTCTGAGAAGCACAGCTAAACATTCAACAACTCAAAGAAAAGGATTAGGGGTGTGTCCACTACTCTTGCTGGCAGCCATAAGCACAGAAACGTTATTCGTGCACTGTGAAGGTGGCTGCTTGCCCAAGTCTCTAAAACCGGATGGCTGTAGAACACAGTACTGTGACAGAGAATGTCAGTCCCAGAGTAGAAAGATCATGCACACCACACTCTTAAGTAGATAACCATTGAAACAAATACAGCAGAAGCAAAATAAACACCTCTATGCGTCAGAAAAGGACAGAAACACAACTTGAAAAGAGTTTAGAGAGGGAGGCTTACTGGCCTCAGGTTTCAGAGTTGAGAGAGTGGCTGGGGTATCAAGCAACAAAACAACCACTGAGCAGGCAGAAGAGCAGTACGTGCAGCTTGAAATCAAGGGAATGGACTAATTTCACTTTTAAACATAAGTGCAAAACCCTAAGTAACATTTGCAACTTAGCTCAAGCTATACACTTTAAAAGATATTGTGACCAATAAGGTTCTTTTTTCCCTGCGGATTGCAAGGATGGATCAAAATTAAAATATCTAGCAGCTTAATATATTAAAGGAGGAAAAAGAATCTTAATTGCTACCACTTGGATCTAGAGTGTCCCCAGAAGTCCAGTGGGTTGAATGTTTGGGCCCCAGCCTGCGGTGCCACTGGGAGGTGGTGAAACCATTAGAAGGTGGGGCCTAGTTGGAGGAAGGTAGGTCCCTGGGGGTGCACCCTCGAAAGGGATATTGGCACCCCAGGCACTTCCTCTCGAAATCTTTGCTTTCTGGACAGAGAAACAGCAAGCATGGACTGAAACTTCTGAAACCAGGAGCCAAATTTCCTTCTTTAAATTGTGTGTATTATGTATTTTGTCATGTTATTGAAAAGCTAACAAAGTACTAAATGTAGAAAAGAAACATTCAGGAAAATTCAGCATCAATTTATATACTGAAAAACAAACAAAAAACTACTGGCCAAATAGGAATAAAAGAAAAGTTTTTAACCATATTAAGAACATCTTGCCACGACTTCCACAATTTAACACTGACTTATGTGCTGCCAAAGCGAGCACCACAATTCAACAGGAAATTCTGACCAACATAACTTCGGGGAAAAGTGAAGCAGATTGGAAAAGAGAAAATAAGCCTTTTATTATTTGTAAAAGATATGTCTTTATATAAAATACCCAAAACAATTCACTGAATATTAAAATACTTCAGCAAATTTGTGAGACAAAAGGTCAACATACAAAAATCCAAGGCACTAAGATATATCAGAAACAAGTAATTACTAAGTATGTTGTTCAAAAAAGTTTGCATAATAGCAAAATTTTAATGATCCTGGGAAATAATCCAAATTCATTAAATTTAGATAAACTTCTTATGAATAACATTTAAAAGATTAAACAGCATAAAAGATCTAAATAGATAGCTAGTGCATATAACTGGATGAGAAGATTCAATACTATAAAAATCTTAATTCTCTCTAAATTAAAATTGCAGTGCAATGGCAGTTGGAATGCCCACAAGTCACATGTGACAAACTCCATCCTTAAATGTATGTAGAATAGTAAAGCCTAAGAAAGCTAAGATAAAATGAAGAAGACAAATTTAAGAATGAATGTACTAGGGCCAGGGATTTAGCTCAACGGTTCAGTGGCCTGCCTCGCAAGCACAAGGACCCGAGTTTGATCCCCGGTACCAAAAAAAAAAAAAGAATGAATATACTCTACTAAATATCAATATTTTATGTCATAGAGTTTTAGTAATTCAGAAGCTATGGAAAAGACACAGCGACAGAAAAAAAACAGAGACCAGAAAAGTTCAGATGCAGTTCACTCACATATAGGAACCTGATATACAGCAACAACTGAATAGAAGTCAGTGGAAAAAACAACAGACAACTTAGTAAGGGGCGGCAGAACAATTGGTTATGGTAATGAAAAAATAACATTAAGTCTTTATCTCATATCAAATATCAAATTACAGCTGGGTTAAGCATCAATGTGAAAACAAAGCTTTTAACATTTGGAACAAATAATGGTTCAATATTTTCTTATTATCAAATTAAGAATTTCTTAACACATAGTAATAAAAACTATTTTTAAAACTTATAGTTTTCCATAAGACAAAGATTGTGTAAGTACACAAATTGGGAGAGGGTACTCACAGTGAAAATACATTACAACAGCTTTGTGCTTAGAATCTTCGAGAACCTTTAGAAACTGATTCAAATCAGTAAGAAAAACATCTCATATCCTTTCTTCACAAAAGAAGACACGAATAGTGAGTGTGGTCAGTCGTGCGCTGCGTAATTGGGTCAACAGTGCTCTCGACATACACAGATCCAGGCCCCTCAGTTTACATCT